TTCATCTTGCGCACGATGAAAACGAAGCAGAATCACAGTTCCCAGCTTGTGCCACTGAAACAGCTACTGGACAAAGGCATCATGCTGGTAGGGGACTCTGGGACAAACGCGCAAGTCGCTCGCAACACGATCTGTGACTGCATCGATGCTACCTGACATCATCAGCAAAGGACTGCTCTGGAGTGTGCAAGAACGGCAGGCAGGACGCAGCATAGTATAGGCAGAAAATGTCTGGTAGCAGTGGCAACGGTCCGATCATCATGCCAGGTAGCATGCTTGTTTTTTTTCATCGGCCCCCGGACCCCAGAGCCGAAGACTTGCAACTCAGTCTCTTTCCACCTCCTTTGCATCACTTGATTGCTCAACTGGTCTTCACTCGTGCCCTGGACCCGCACAGTACAGCGACATCTCAGCCGCACTCGGCAGCCATGTAAGCGTATGATGAAACCCCGGGCTAGCTCGAAACAATCGGCGGCTCCTATGGTCTACAATGTCGGGCGTTGGCACCGACTTCCAGGATCCCCGTCACTGTGCATATTTCGCCTGAGACGTGTTACTTCAGGCTTCAGGAACAGTGCAAGGTCCTACAAAACCTGTGAGCGTGAAATTGCTGCCCAAACCGTTGGTGTTGATTGGCATTTATTTCCTGCATACTCCATGCACATGTCAACTGCACCGGCAGCAGGCATGGTTTTGCCACAAAGCCACCAGACAAGCAGCCAACGCCCTTTGCGTGGCTTCTTCTTCGCTCAAGGTAGAAGCTTCTCAACGAAATCACCTGCAGCAAGCCGAAAGACTGCTGATACATCAGCACGGGATGACACAGCCACCTTCGAAGCCAGCATCACACAACCCTATGGTGCCTGCCATCGTCTCGCATGCCAATTCCAGGCCTTCAGCTGCGAGTATCACGGCACACTGCTGGCGCTCGGCTTCCCACTCTGCGTCCCGCAGGATCTGGCCGTAAAGGTCAAAGATGTCAGGTGAAAGGCTTTGGTTCAGGTGCTACAAGGCGGAATCAGGCGGAAACCCATTCCAAGTCATACAACATCTCGACATCTTGCGGCATCTGCAGCCCTGACTGCTTGGCCAACGCAGAGCTACCCTGCAACACTGTGCCCTAAATCCCCAACGCTCAAATGAACCTAAGCGCGCCTAAATACTGCATGACCCCTGAAAGCACTAGACTTCGACATGCATATGTATATGTCTATTCACATACATATACAAATACATACGAGCGGTGGGGTTAAGTCGCGTCAGGGCGCGCTTAGTCACAACATCCCCAAGTGCACGCTCCGGTCCGCGTTTAGTCGCATCACCCGCGT